GACAAGCAGGCAAACAGAGGAGGAAGGATTTGCAGCTAATAATCAGGGCAGAGGATGTGAGTAAAATTTTGCATCCACACGATGCCCTCTTACCACCAACCATTTTGTTGAGCTTAACAGCAGCACCCACACCAGGGCCATAATCTCTCCCAGCTACTTTTGTCCTTTGTGATGGACCTGAACTAAGGGTTCAGACCTTAGGTGGGAGAATGGGGGATGAAATAACCTCATCCACTTTCATCCTTCTACAGCATCTAATTTCTACCCCCAAATATCTTCCCCTGGTGCTGGAGTTTGCAGAATGGCACTGCAGTGGAAGACAATGAGTTTTTACCCTGGTGCAGAGCCTAGGAAGAGGATTGGCCTGGGACTGCTGCCGTAGAGAGCTTTTTGGGAGGTAGCCAGAAGCCCTCAGATTGTCAGGGAGCATAACCAACCTGCCAGTCAAGGTCTCTGTTTCCCCACACTCCATCCCCATCACAGATGAGCTTGTCCCACAAAGCCCATTCCAACGTGACAAGTATTTATATAAGACTAATGAATGTCCTGTCACACACAACATCTTGACATGCTCAGGCACTGGAGCCCAGGCACACATGCTGCTTCCTCTGCCATGAGCAGGTTTGCAAAAAGCTGCAGCCCTAGTTTGGTCCGGCTGGAGTCGCTCCACTGCTTTGGGCTGTGATTCATCACACTACTGCCAGGCTGAAAGCCTTTTCCATGAAGGGAAACTACATGTGGCAAGAACCATAGGTGCTTCTCCAGGAAGGATGACAGTCCAGTGGTGATGCTCTCATCACTTGCACAAGTACCAAGTGTCAACTGGCAGGAATGAGGCAGCCTGGCTCTCTGCAGAAGGTTGCAAGTCCCCACCATGTCAGTGAGCGAGCACAGGATGCTTGCTTTCATGGTTTACTCATGAAAACCACCATGTGATAAACACCATTTTCTCATTTAAATGCCTTAAAAATACCAACATGATTTGAGTAGGAAAATACCAGCCTTCTGTCAGGGCTCTCTTCATTCTATGCCACAAATATCTGGTGCAACTCTCCATCTTTCCACTTTCCCAAGCAGCACTAGCTCTGCTGGATTTGCCCCCTAAAGCCTCTCCAGAGAGGTTCAATAGCCACATGAAGTGATGGGGCCTGTCAGCAAAACCCAGTGATGCTGGGTTTGGGCCATGCTTTCCTTACAGCTGCCTCTGCCTATACTAGAGCTCCTTCCAGCTGAGTCCTTGGGGCCCTGTAACCTAGCAGCCTCCTTGGAGCAAATGTGTGTAACCTCTGACTGACACAGCCCAGGCTGCACTCCACCACAGGGCACTGCCTTCAAAAAGAAAACCTGCAGCTGGGGAAGAACCAGCCTCCCCTCTCTCTTTTTCCATGTTGCCTCTTCCTTCATAGGAGGCTGGTGGGACCCATGGGTGCCAATTCCCACTGCTACCCTATGATGGCCCAGTAATGTTGCTCAATACATTGCATGTCGCTTCATAGGAGAGGATGAAAGGTACTGCCAGTAGTCTCAACTGGGAATGCTTTTTTTTTTTTTTTTTTTCTTTTTTTTTCCAGAGACATTTGGGCACTTTCTTTTTCCTTTGAGACTGGAAAATGTGTGACCTTATTGATGCAGATGGTGCCCACCTGAATGGATTGTTCCTTCACACTGCATTCTCCATGCCCTTTACAGCTCCTAGGATTCATGCTTGCTCATACATCTGGACCCACAGATCCGACTTCTGTGAGAGTGCACAGCAGCACCATTGTTCTGAAGAATGCAGAGTGCAGAAGGAAGCAGTTAGGAGGAGAGGCAGAGGCTTCTGCTGCTCTAAAACCTGCAGTCAACATGCTCTGGTCCAGCGCAGTCCAAAACACTAATGGTACCTGGCCCTTCCAAACATGAAAAGCCCTGAAGCAAAGGGCCTGATGCAATGGGAACAGGCATAGATCCTCAGGGTGGTGGGATGTGCATCACAGCCCCACTCACTTATTTCACACCACTGCCCAAACAGGCTTTTGCTGCCAACAGCTTTGAGCGCTGTTGTCTCCAGACTGGAAACTGCAGCAACTGTCCTATAAAAACCTAAAATGGAGAAGACAAACCTCCCAAGAAAAACTGGAAGACACTGCAAGGTGAGGGTGTAGGGGTTTCCACATATTTATTCTATCAGCTATCCCAAGACTGAGCTGATCTCAGCAGCAGCAAGTGCAGAGTACAGCCATGCCTGGCAGCACTGCTCACGTTGAGATTGAGCTGTCCTACACACATCCAAGCCCACCCCAGTCCCAGCCAGTCCTGTTTTGCCTTTAACAGAAATTACCTTGATGGGCCCTAGACAGGGGCAGAACCTGATAGTTCTGCTTTGTTATCATACCAGCATCCTGGGTGCTTCCAGTTCACCCCTCTGGCCTCCCAGTAAGGAATCGCTGCACATCTTTTAGCTGTTGCAGCAAGCAAGATTTATGAAACCCATCGACGGTAACGGAGGCTTCTAGCTGTCTAAGGATCCAGCTGCACACATGCCATCCTCTGCTCACCTTCTCTTTCACTCCTGATCCCTCCTCCTACTGAGCAGTCCTCCAAGACCTTCCTGCTGAGACCCATCATGGAAGCACCTCCATCCCAAAACAATCGATCACACCCTGCACCACAATAAACCAGCTTGATCCTCTCACAATGCTCCCACACACAGTTGAAACACCCCACAAAAGGCATAGTTAAAAAAAAATAAGCAAATTTACAAAGGAGATTTCAGATCTGTGACAACTATTGTTCAACAGAACTAAGTCCTATCCAACCTCCCATTTCAGAAACCTGCCAGATCCCAATGGAAGCCTCCTTCCCCTGCTCCTCATTAGATTCCTAGAGGTGAAGCTTAGACATGCAAATAGCTGGTCTATCCTTTAAAAATCAAAAGAAATTAGAAAGAGGAAAACATTTTCTCTTTAGGTCAACCCAAAATGAAACCTTTCTATTAGTTGCAGCAAAACTATATATTTTTTTTTTCTTTAAGTGAAGACAATGAAAACATTTTGTTCTCCCCAAAATAAGGCATTTCTCTGTTTTCAAATGCATGTTTGAAGGCACTTGTGGTCCCCTCCTTTTTAATTAAAGGCAGGCAAATTTCAAATGTCACAGTGCAATAAAAATTTAAAGAGTTTAATTTCAAGCATATCTTAAACAAAGCCTGCAGTTTTTCATCCCGAAAATACTCTTTATTTTTTCATTTCAGACTTGAACCAAAGTTGTAAATAATGTCAAAGGAACCAAAATAACTTTTTATTTTTCCTACAAACAAATGTTTCATCTTAATTTCAGCCAGGCTAGCTTAAAGTGATTGGAGCCAGACTTTTCTCAGTGGTGCCCAGTAAATGGACAAGAGGCAATGTCCATGAATTGAAATACAATTCCTTTTAAATAGAAGAGAAAAATTATTATTTTTACTGTAGGGTAGCCAAACCCTGGAACAGGTTGTGCAGAGAAGCTGTGGAGTCTCTTGGAGATAATCAAAACCCAACTAGACATAGCCCTGAGCAACCCCCTAACTGATCCTGCTTTGAGAAGAGGGTTGTATTAGGTGATGTCTGGAGGTGCCTTCCAGGCTTAATCCTTCTCATTTTATCACAAACTGGAAAGGGAAGTATCCAGGTCCTGCAGTCACCTCTCTGAAGATTCACAGACATACACCAGGCCCATTGAACCACTGCAAGTTGTGGCATCACCAGCCCTGCCGAGTTTGAGAGTCACACAGAGCTTCATGATATTTTTACGTTCCAGTTCCTGAGATATTATAATTGACTGTTTAAAATAAAATATGCATTTCTTACCCTTGTAAATGAAGAGAAAACCTGTAACCTCTGCCTGAACTGCAAGGGAGAAAAATAGAAAGCAGATTTGTAAAAGAGAAACCCACAGGCATTTAGAATCAGCCATTCCTCAAGCAGTTTGAGCAAGCTGGATTTCTCTGGACCTTACACATCCTGCTTGGGTTCTCTGGTGCCTCGTAAGGTGTAAACTCTGGAAAGCTTCTCCCATAGCTGCGTATTCAAATGTTCCTGCATAGATTCACTGGATCTTAATTTGAAGAAGAAGAGCTCACGCTGGACTATATAATTCATTAGGGGCTCACATTATTTTCCCGGCCACCTCACATAAGAGTCTGATATCCCCATGAGTTTGAGCCCACTGACAGCTTGAACTGAAAGTGGTCACTCAGTACTAAAGCTGGTAGGGAAAACAGACAGGCAGACACAGTGTCACAAACAGCCTTGCTCATCACAGCAGCAGTCACAGCTCAGATGGGCTCCTACCAGCTTTGCATCAGGGAATTTGCTCAGTGCTAAGCTGGGCACCATCACCTCAGTCATTGCCACACTGCAGGATTAATAAAAAGCCAGTGACTTCTTGAAAATTTGGGAAGTGTCCAAGTTTGTTAAAAAGAGATGGAAAGAAGAGTAAACATCCTATGGATGTTTCACATCTGGGCTTTTGGACTGTCAGAGTCTCTGGTCAACTCCACCTGTTGGGGTCAGGAGATGGGAGTGTGAATGGAGAAAGAGATCTATGAGTACGGAAATCTCGGACCCCTTTCATCACCAAGGCCTGAACCGCACTCCATCTCTGGTGTTGTTCAGCTGGACTCAAATATTTTAATATCCCAGCCAATAAGAAAAACATTTAAAGTGCCCTTAATTTTTATAAGATTCCTGGAATGTGCACACACACACAAATGCATACACACGTGAGCAATCCACAGCCCTGTGCTGCACACACAGCACTGAGTTCTCAGCTCCAGCAGCTTGTCCAAAGCAGTCCCTTGCATTTGGGGCAGTTTTGAGTTTGGGTGTCATTAGAAGAACAGAGTGAGCATCTCTCGTCTGTTTTCTTCCAGCAGAACCTCACCTCGGGGCAGTGGCAGGATCTTTTCAATAGTGGCTTTTGGAAAAGCATCTCAGCCCATTTTTAGTGAGCCATCGAACTTACCTAGGGGTTAAACTTACCGACTGTTTTCCTCTTGGGGAAAGCCAGCGGGACACTCACGCCTCAGACCCAACCATCTCTTGGTGCAAAGTGACCTCTACAGTCTGCTTTGTGTATGTCGTATTTCAGCCAGAAGAGACAGATTTCTTTGCAGGTTGGGCTGGATCCACTGCCCTCCTGTGGCCGACTCCAAAACTTCGCAGAAAGTCTGAGGTTTCTCAGTGTTCGATTTCCATCAGTATAGAGAAACAGCTGGATTTGATGTAATAGCGATAATATCAGCAGTTTCGAAAATGCCAGTAATTTATATTATAGGCTCACACATTTAAGAAAGTCAGCTAGAGCCTCTGGACTGCTGGTGACCGGCAGGACTACAAAGTCCCCATCAGCTGACGGAAGTGAAAAAAGCTACCAAGTAACTTAAAAACCTGCTATTCTAGGTGCTCTGGAGAAAAATACAAACAGTATAGGGAAGGTCCTGATCCCACACAATGCATTTCCTTGCCTCCTCCAAGTCAGTGGAACTCTGCAGGAGTTGTGCTTGGCAGTTGGAGGCACAGGAGAATTCTTGGAGGAATTGCAGTGCTGGAAAATTAGTTCAGTGAAGTGTTCACTTTTTATGTATCAGTATACCAAAACAAAACGTACTCCGAAAAAAACATTTGGGCTGGCAAGTGGAGATGGACTAACTCAACCTTTCATGCTGTAAATCAGCTCAGCAACATACAAGCAGTGCCTGGTAGGGTTTATGCAAGAAAAATCTCAAATAATTTTCTTCAGACAGGATGTTCTGTGAAGCTATTCTATTTGTGATTGCAATGGTGGGCGTCCTGTCAATCAGGAGAGCATTTTAGTAAACAAATCCTAAACTTTTATTCCCTATTACCTGATGCTTGATCACCTCCCCTGTTTCCTCATTGGCTGAGTACTACAGGTTCACAATGCTTCTCTATACCATATATGTACACTTTTTTTTTTTCTTCCCCCCCCCCCCCCCAACCCTTTAATTTCTCCTTTCTCATGTTTTGAGAACTTGTGATCTTTGTTTTACTTTTCTCACACTACTCATCCTGTTTTTCTCAAGCTTCTACCTTATTTTGGAACAGTGAGGCCTTCTACTGTCCACTTATCTACTTAGCATTTCTCCTTATTCTCCTACACAACTACGTTGGAATACAGAAAAGTAATTCTCTACTACAAAAACACAATTTTGTTTCTCACATTTAGAAGCAGTACACTTGCTCCAAGTCCAAGGACCACAACCAGTAGATGGCATTCATACAGGGTTATATTATGTATATGTATGCTATTAGGTTTAAACTGTCTTGGAAAACATGGAGGATAGCATTTCTCATATAAAAGTGAAGGTAAAATGCAAATATTAAACTTAGCCTGCTGACTTTGATAAGCAACTTTGCAGCTGTCAGGTGTTACAGACTTTCTGGCATCTCTTTCACTCACCATTGATCTTCTGGCTGCTTCTTAAGCCTTAAAGAAATATAATGCCTCTCTAAAGCATCACTAAGAATCTTGTGTATCCTGGACCACAGAGATGCCCAGCGAGATGTTAATTAGGGATACCCCACCATTCCTCTGAGGTATGATCCAGGATCCACCAGACACATGGCTGGTAGATGCACATGGCTACAAGCTGCTAGTGCTTAGCTACCACTGAGGAAATATTGCCCTCAGCATCTCGTCCTGTAGGAGCTGCTGATCCTAAGAAAGCAATGTCAGCATGGAGCTATGCCACTTGTGTAAGGCCTGCCTCCCTGCTGATGAACCCAAGGTCCCAGTTCCCAACAGGTGAGAATGGGAGCACCTAGCAGGTACATGTGGTTACAGAAGAATGAAATGGCTGAGGTGATGGGAGAGGCATTTCCTAGGTGGAAGAGTAGGACTAAGGAGAGTAGGGCTCCTCCAGAGCAGGGCCTCATGATGTTGTAACTTAGCCAGCAACATAGCACATAGGCCCTTCTCCTCAGCCTGCTGACCTTGCCAGTGTTGACCAAAAGTGCTGGTAGAGCCCCCCAGCAAAATACTGCTACTTCATGGGAGCCAAGACGACCACAAGACTCTATTCTTATTGCAACAGAAAAAAAGAGGTGCAATAAGTAGAATCCTGCTTCCACCATATCCCATTCCTTCATCTCCCCACCCTGGCCTGCTCTCTAGATCATTGCAGTCCCTCTGTCCATGGAACAGCCCTCCAAAAAATCAAATGCATCTTTAAAAAATCAAATGCAAAAAATCAAATGCATCTTTAAGAGGTGGTAATAAGAAAATCCTAGTGCAGCAGGCAAATGTGGAGTTCACAGCCCTGTTCTATCTATTGATATAATAGAAGAAATAGCCTCTCTCAGACCATTTCTGCTAAGACTCAGAAGAAAAGCCATTTTTGTTTCCTTCACTGGGGGATCTAAAGACAAAGATGACCTACCTTCATCTTAGTACAGCACCAAGCAAGTTGTCTGCTCTGTGCAAGCCTGAAAGGGATTTTTGACAGTAGACAAAGAAACTTGCAAAGGCCTCAGGCTAATGCTGTTACTGACATCCTGGAAGCAAGTAACAGGAGCTGAAGCCCCGGAATAGGAACAACTCAGATCTATTTGTACAGTACTTGGCACCAGAAGTGAGACCTGTGCCTGAGTTTTAAGTACAGATCAGCTCTGTATGTGCCAGGCAAGATGGACCTTTAACACTGATACAGACAAGCTCCCTTGCATTCTAACACATGCTCAAACCACGTTTTTCTTTCTCAGTGAATGATGCACTCTATTAAAAAGCCCTCCTCTTCCTACCTATCCCTTGCCGGCTCCATGGCTTCTCAGGGAACAGATCCTGTTGGATGAGGGGCATCTCTCACTTCCACTGAAAACAGCAAGGAGGTGGTGTGCTTAGTCCCTGGCAGCATCATTCATCCCAAGCAAGAGTGATGGGAGATATTTGGTACCTCTCAGCCAATTGGAGGAGAGGTGGCACCGAGAGGGGGTGCTTTCAGCTCTTCTCTCCACCCATCCTCCCATAAACCACCCCCTCCATCCCCCCCCCCCGCCCGCCCCCATCACTACCACCATCCTCCTCACACACAAAAGCAGTGCAATTAGCTGACTTAAGAGAGCTGATGCTTAGCCAGCTGCAAGAGGAAAATAGTGAAATAGGAAGGGAGAGAGGCAGCTGAGAAAGCGATCACCACGGAAGAATACAAATAACAGCTCCCAATTCCCTCCCAGTGAAATCCACATCACAAAGCACTGTCTCCTGCGAGAAAGGCAGACCTAGATGCAACCACACAGTCATTCACTGAGAAAGCACCACACGTCTGCATCCAGATCCAGGCACTGAATCTCCTGAGCAGCCCGACTGCACTGGGAAGAATGCGCAGCTGGGATACAGGCAGGATCTTCTTTGTTCTTCGTTAGCCACAAGCATCGGTGAGTACTGCGTCATCTGGGCTTCCATACTGCCAGGCAATGTCTGATATTAAGAAACATCAGGCTCCACCCTGGGACTCGTTTCAATTTCTTCTCCTTCTCTTTCTCCCTCCATGATGCTTTCAAGGGCTAGCGGAAAGCAGATGACAGCTATGGGGAGCAGGGAGGGAAGGTGGAGTCTCTCTGAGCCCCAAGGTATCTCCCTTGCCTGCAAGTTGGGATATAAAAACGGGGACACGTATGACATGTCATGGGCATTGCATGCATCCAGGCGCGGTGGTTAAGGCCAGAATACAAAATGTGCACCCTGTGAGGAAAGGCTCAGAGATGCTGGTCAGAGAGAAAGCCCTGCAACCCTCACAGATAGCTCTTTGCTCTGATTCCTATCTCTGTCAGTGCCTGTAATAAAGATGGATGCCTGATTTACTCAGGCCTCTACACAACTTAATTCCTTCAAAGTAGATACACACAGGCAGATTTACTTTTCTCCAGTTCTTTACCAGTGACACCTTCTTTAAATACAAGCCTCCAAGGAAGCAGAAAAAGCACTGGCTCTCTAGAAGAGCCTTATAGCAATGGATTGAGCACAAGGGCCGAGCTCAGGAAGAACATTCAAAATTGTGCTGCAGCAGACAGGTTAATGCTGCGCCCACCATTTGCGCTGATTTCACCTGAGCATGTTCTGTATAACATAAGGCCTGCCCTTGTCCCCTTTGGGCTCAGGTACTACTGAGCACATCTGCAGCAGTAGCCAGCTGAGAGAACCATTTCTGCTCTTGCCAACTGGAGCTGGTTCTGCAAGGACCGGTCCCATTCCCTCAGCTGGACTTTGTAAGGGGTTGCACTTACACACCAAACACAGATGTAGTCCCTGGGAAATAGGTAGAAAAGTCTGATTTTTGCTGGCTGGCAGTGTAGGAATCTTCTCATGAAGGTAACAATATTTGTAGTCTAAAGGGCCCCTGGCGCTACCAGGGTGTTAGTATATGTGAGAACAAGGCCCCTGGATCTGAATCTCTCCTGCTCTTACCAGTGCAGATGAAACCCCGGCCTGGGAACAGCACATCTGCCTTGCCTCCATCTGAGGTGCTCCATTTTTTTTTTTTTTTTAATTATTTTTTTTTTTATTTACCTAAGAGCAAGGTAGAGAGCGAACTCTTCAGGGGTGTGAAAGGACATTCAACAACCCTGTGAAGGTCTCATCACCCTCTCCCATTTCTCTCTTGGTACAGGGACAAGCATGGGGATGGAGCATAGATCAGGCAGCAGCATTTGGGAATTTCTTTGCAAAACCTAAGCCATTAGCTTCTGTTCAAGCCAGTAAAATGGAAAATGGTGCTACTGCATCACCAACCTGAAAACAGCCTGGGAGGAGCTCTTCTCTTCCCTTTAAGCCACACTTAATTTCCCTCAGCAGAGGTGTAGGTTAATGTTGAGATTACTATGGCAAGAAAGGTAGTAAAGGAAAATAGGAGGGTGTCAGCCCAGAAGGTATTTATTTACAGGGAGAAGAGCTAAGACCACAACTGTTCAGAGATATACCTGTTGCTTTGACTCAAGGCCAGCCTCACCTCCTCTTTTCTTGTCCAAAATGTGTCAAGAGGCCACAAACCTCCATGTTCTTGTCTTATCCCTTTTGCGCAACAAGCAGCTATCTCACTGATTCTCTGTCGAGATTGGTATTAGCATACCTGCTCTGAACCTGCTTGGATTAGATGCTCCCCTGTAGTGATGCTCAGTGCCAGCCCCTCTGCCTTACATTTTCCAGCCTGAGCCCTTCCTCGAGGAAAACACTGTGCATCCAGACCATCTCTGAGCACAATGGGAACCACAGAAGCCACTCTGCGGATGGAGAACGTGGATGTGAAGGAGGAATGGCAAGATGAGGACTTCCCCAGGTTCGTTCCCTGAAAAAAAAAATATTAAAAAAAATCAAGACAATACAGGGAAAGCTTTATTTCTTCCTGTAAGAAACCAGCAAAGCATGGCGCATTCTGGTCCCTCCTACCAGCCCCAAAGGCAACAGAAACCTTGACTCCAGCAGAATGACTCTGGCCAGAAAGCAGGGCTTCTGTAGCAAGGCTACTTTCAATGATTAGAAAAGTTTAGGTGGTTTCTGGCAGCACTCTGTAAGCATGCCAAGGAGGGTAAGGAACAGGGTGCAGAGGACAGAGAGAGATTAACAAGGATAAATACATACCTATAGGGATGGATGAATGGAAGGAAAGGCTATTGGATCTCAGTCTCTGCATAAAGCGGTGTCTCCCCAAACAAAGCAACAATGCTTTGCCACAGGACCCAAAGTCACTGGGATACAATGACCACTGGCACTGACATGCTGAATGGCAGTATCTTGCCCTACCATGGGCCAGCTGCTTGGATGAATGAATAAATGAGCATAACACTGCTCTTTTCCTTCTCCCTTCTCCCTGGACAGCTTCTCAGTCCCGAAAATAATTACCTGTTCCAGGACAGGGTAGATATAGACTGTTCCACCCACATGGGCAACCTGGTTTTTGCTTTTCTCATGCCTGAGACAATAGAGCACTGGTCGCAACTGTGGTTGCAAACCTTGCAGGAAATGATGTGTGGGCAAGAAAAGGTGCCAAGGTGACAGCTTTCAACTTCACAGACACCTTATTAACTGCACAGAGAACTGACAAAAATCTTTGTAAGCTCAGTGAGCACTTAACTTCCTGCAGCCACTCAAGCATTGCCCCAGACATCCAGGACTAAAGCCCATCACCCAGCAGCAGCTTGCTGAGGCACACAGTGCAGACAACACCAAACCTTGCTGCAGCCTGCACAGCCAGCCCCAGGCGCACAGGGGCCTGGGAAGTTGAGGGGCTTTTCAGGGCTGTTTCACCCCATCCCAGCTGCAGCTGAATCCCCCACAGCAACCCACAGGGTCCCCGTGTTTGCAGGACAGTGGCTCAGTGTGCTCTGTGGGTAGGCACACACAAACCCTTGCCATACTAGAAAGGGTCTCCTGTGTCCCTTGGCACCGGTGGATGAGCTTAGCTCTGTTTACCCCAGGCCCAGCTGCAGTGCTAATCTAAGCACCTCTGTCTGCCAGCCCAGCACCCGGCTCCTAGGACATCACTTGTCCTTCCACTGGCCCCAGAAGAGTGCTCAGCCAAGCCTTGGGCTTCTAGTGCAGATTTTTCTTTCCTCTGAAAGCAGGGCTAGCCAAAGCTTTGGGCTGACAGACCTCTGCCGACATAAAGCTCCTTTAGAGTGTTGCGTTGACAAGCTTTCAGTTGAGTGGAATGGAAAGTAAGGTATAGAAATAAATTATACACACAATGCTCCCTAGAAAATCTGGGGATAAAGCTGGCCTAGCACCTGGACACCCGTGCAGTATGCTGGAGCAGGAGTCAGGCTGTTTTGCACTTGCTGTACAACCAGCAAACGTACCCTAGCAACAGTCAAACCTTCAAGGGGGCTCTGCAGAGCCTCTGTGCCCACGTAACATGGGCATCATCACTCCTGACTGGCAAACACAGCCCAGGGAGAGGCAAAGTAATGTGACCATGGCTGGGCAGCAAGTCAGTGGCAGGGACAAGGCCAAAGCCCAGAGAACTAGCTCCACAGCCTGCTACTAGACTGCTGCAGAAGGATTAAATCAGGAATGATGCAAGTGAAATACAACCCAAATATCCACTAATACCAGCTGTGTTTCACTTGCATTAAAAAAATAAAAAAAAATATAAAAAAATCAATTAATTCCCCCCTAGAAGCATTAAAATAACAGGACAGAGGCTACTGCATGAGGGACAGTAGCTCTCTACCAGATGATTTGCTGCATAGCTATTTTTGCTTATCTGTGATTAACCAATCTTGCTACAAAAAATATATACCCCAGACAAAGATCTTGGCTGAGGAACTGATCTCCTTATTAAGAAAACAAGGGGACATTCCCATCCCTCCCCAAGAAGCTCCTTTGCAGAACAAACTTCTGCCTTTTTCTGCTGCAAGGGTGTAAAGCCAACACACTGAGACATCTCCTAGAGAGATCAAGCAGCGAGGAAGCAGAGAGGAAAGCCCCCCCCCCCCCCCCCCCTTCCTGCTGCTCCCTGAAGGCTGAGTCTCTTGCTGACAGTCTGTCTCAGCTGTTTGTGCAAGTGTCCTCCTGCAATGATGCTGTAGCGTTGCAGCAGGGGGGGTGCAGGAGCATGCTCACTCCGTCACACTTCCATCAGATTACAGTCAGAGAAGGCTTGGGCTGGTTGGGGCCTGAGATACAGGGAAGCTGGGCATCACACTATCAGCAGAGAGAAAAATGGTGGCACCTAACCCTTAGAAAAGCGGCTTCATTCAGAAAATTTGGCATCTAGGTCTAGCTGCGTGTGGGAAGGAAGATTTACACGGGAGACTGGGAGGTAGTGATTCAAGTTTCCTTTGGGAAGGTAAGAAAGACCTTTTCTTTGCCTCAGACTTTTGAATTGCTTCTCTTTAATAAATCCTAAAATCAAAGAGCAGAGTGCCTCACTGCAGCACAAACTTGGGTACAGCTGGGCCTTCCCCCCCTCCTTTTGATGCTGTGTCACGAAGTTGTGCCAGGCTCACAGCCAGATAAAGAACCAGACAGGCTCTATTCAAGGTGAAAGCAAAAGGGAGGAGGAGAGGCTGGAAGGGGGCAGAAGGCCCTTGGGTCTGACTGCTCAGGAATATAGAGGGCTGCCCAAATGAGCAAGGACCAAGCACCTTTGATCAGGTCTCTAGCTCTCATAAATATACAACAACCAGCTCGGAGAGGATTATCCCTTAATCTAAATATATATGTGGTTTCATTTGGCTGGTAGCTCTGGTGTTAGGGCTGCACAAAGAGAAGCCTTTGTAGGGCAGAGCCAAACAGCATCCTTCTGCCAACTCAGAGATACCAGTCCCTATCAGCTCTCTCCCTGTCATGGTCAGACTAACACCAGCAGCTGCTAGAAAGCAACCCTGTGGTCCCATCCCAATTCTTACTTTACTGCCTTAAAACTGGTGGGTTTTCCTCCATGTTTCACCCCAGGGCCATCCCAGAACCCAGGATTTTATACCTGAATGCCTGGCCAGTTTCCCTGTTGTGGGGAAGCTTTCAGCAATGGGCAGGTAAAACAAGGATAGTTTAGAAGGTTGCTTTTTTTGGTTGTTTTTTAAACTGTTTGTTGACATCATGAACATGCCATGGGGTTGGTGGGATTTGGTCATGGTGTGTGGAAAGTTTCAAACTGCCTCCCCTAGCTAATGCCAGGGAAAGGCACAAATTATAGCTCAAATTAATGAGAAAAGTGTCCAGCTCAGGGTGGGCAGTGTGCTGTTCAGTACTGCCAGCTAGGGTTACTCACAACAGAACTGGGGGCAGATTCTTACTTCACTTACCCCTATGAGCTGGGAGCAACTTTACCAGTTTGCAAAGGGCAACAGCCACATAGTGAGATCTGGCATTAACATCTGTAAAGGAAAGCCAAACTTTTAATTCAGTTGACATTTCTAAGCCTCCAGCTACTGTCATGGTTATTTATACCAAGGGGATGAAGATGAAAATCCTGGCCTCTGACATGGAGCCCAAGGAAGAGAGCGGTGGGTTAGCCTTTGGATCCAAGATACTGGTTTGAGTGCTCAAACCTGGATCTTAGCTCAGAATGAACCTGCTTCCAGACCTCAGTAGGGTTTGGGTATCACTGTCATCTATTGCCAAGTGGGGACTGAGGTGAGGATGGGGGAATGATTCTGTGATCACACCTAAGGTTTAGAATTCTTGCCTTGAACACCAAGAAAACAACTAAAAGAGCAAAGTCATGACAGACTAAGGAGGCAATGGCCTTTCACAAGAGGTGGTTGTGGAGGGTGCTTTGAAAAAAACGTTTCTCCACTTCAGCCATGGCCAGTGCCTAAAGGCAGGATGCACTGTTTAGAAAACATTGGTGGACAGTGGCAAATGCTCCTGTTCTAAGCATCTCTGCTAGCTCACCTGCTACTGGGATCAGAGCATTCCGTTCTGAGCTTGTAAACAGCCAAATGCAGATTTTACAGCCCACTGCATTGCCTACACTATGCAGGGTTCAGTATCAAAGTACCAGCTGCAGATGTTCACTGGTATTCTTGATGAGGAGCCCTAGAGTTTGGCACTGCCTCTCAACTTTTTGATGGAGATCAAAATGGGGATAATATGGAGAAAAGGAGGGTGTTTCTTTTTTTTTTTTTTTTTTTTTTTTTTTTTTTTTCCCCAAGGACAGTATTTGTTCCAGTGTCACTGGCTAGATTTTCCAGACTTTTGGTTGAATGGCAGGATAAGAGACATACTGGGGGGATAGTTTGGAAATTTATTGGGATTGCACTGTTCTCCAGTGAGAAAGCACAGCTATTGGGTTGCTCCTGGGTAAATCTCCTGACGTTATAACCAGGCTGATGCTCACAGACAAAAGGAAAAGGGAAGCGCACACATAGAGTTGTATGTTTTTCCCTGACATCCTCACTTCTCTCATGTCTGTCATGTGTGACTTTCTTCTAAATATCACTTGTTTCCCATCTTTTACATCCACATCTTGGCTTGCCTGCAGACCTCTCCCAGAAGAGACAGGAATGGAGTCACTGGGCAGCCCTACAGAAGATGAGAATACATCCTGTAAGTACCAGCCTGCCTTATCAGGAGTTCAAAGGAAAACAAGCCTAAGAGAGTGACAGCATGCAGTTAGGGCAAAACTCAGTTCCCTTGGAGTCTCCACAAAAACTCTAATATGGAAGAAGAAGCCACAGAGATCTGAATTTGCTAATCTTTTGCAAGAGGCTGGGGGAGGAAATGGGGATCTTGGAAGTGTAGGCACTTTTATCCAGCCATACCTGCATGTGTTAGATACTGCCCACCACCCTTAGCTTCCAAGACCATATCCTGAAATAAAAATAAGGAAACCACCATCTCTTGCACTAAGGATACAGTACAAGGACAATCTGTCAGTTATTTTCCTTTTAACTCCAGCTCCCCCAAATACTTTAAACTTTAATGGGTCGCATCGTAAACGGAAGACACTTGTTGCACCTGAAATCAACATTTCCCTGGACCAGAGTGAAGGCTCCATTCTCTCTGATGACTTCTTGGACACACCAGATGACTTGGATATTAATGTGGATGACATTGAAACTCCTGATGAAACAGATTCCCTTGAATTCCTGGGAAATGGGAATGAACTGGAATGGGAAGGTAAAAGGATAACTTTGGGTGGACTTCTACAGGGGCTAGGGCTTTTTTTTTTTTTTTTTTTTTTTTTTTTTTTTTTTTTTTTTTTTTTTTTAACACTGATTTTAACCACTTCTGATAACACTTATCAGCAGCAGCTGTGGACTGACAGCAGCAAAGCACAGCACATACAACCACAGCCCATCTTCCGTACAATATCTGCCCCACCAAGACACCAGCAACAGTCCAGGAGTGCTCTCTCAACATTTCCACCAGTGGACAGTGTGGGCAGAAGTAGTTCAATCAAACACCAGTCTAACCACAATTCAGGATAAAGCGTAAGGCTCTGTACATACATTCCCTTCCAGCAGTACCTGGGCCACAACCCCAGGCTGGAAGGTGTTACCTACTCAGCTCTGCAGGCTGAGCTGTCATGTGAATGCTCAAACCAAACCAGATTGGTTTAAACAACTTGAATAACTTGGTCTTTGCTAACCTGGATGATTTTGACTGAATTGTGCTAAGAAGGACTCACTCAAGCAGCTCTGGTAGCAGATCAGAAGAGATCCCCTGATATAGGTAGTGCTCTCTTCAGTCAGTATAAATGGATCTGAAGGAAGATCCAGCAAAAAGTCCTGTGAACTACCTGTGACTGCAGGCGTGAGATGTTAAACTTATTTCTATTACAATTTGACAATTGAAAAAAAATAAGATCCATAAACATACACAAATCAAAACAGCACATAAAAGAGATCATCCTGTCTGTGGATGTTACTGAACACCAAAGCTATCGCAGAGCCTCTTCATACACGTTATTAGTGGCAGAAATATTGTCCTTTTTCCTAGATGACACTCCTGTAGCTACAGCCAAGAACATGCCTGGGGACAGTGCAGATCTCTTCGGGGATGGTGGGACAGAAGATGGGAGTGCTACCAATGGACGGCTCTGGAGGACAGTCATCATCGGAGAGCAGGAGCATCGTATTGACCTCCAGATGATCAAACCTTACATGAGAGTGGTGACACACGGAGGTGAGGCCTAATCCTAGCCAGGCAGATTTCTTGCAGTATCTTTGTCAAGCTGGAAGGGATGACCTGACAGTTTTGGCTGTCTTTAGGGAAAATTTGCTATTCCTTTCATACTTTTATGTGGCAGACAAGCACAAAAAGCACCCTGCTTATGCTAAAGAAGAGATAGCCACAATAGAAAGGTTTCAATAAACAAACTCAATAATAAGACTGGCTCTGAGTGAGCACAAATACATCTTGAGCCTCTTCTTCAGCTGCAGGCTAATGCTGCAGCTACATTGCCAATGCTGAAGTGACTGCAGCTGCTTAATCCCTCCATAAATTAGCATCTGAGCTGTCTCTGGATGCATATCTAAAGGCTAAGATGCCCACAGTTGGTGACCATTTCTGAAATTTGACCATAGACAAACAAAGACCCAGGGCAAAACTCTTAGCTCTGTGCTTTGACACACATGTATTCCTTCTCTGAACCCCACGTACATGTTACTGGGAAAACCAGGAAAAGAAGCAAATCCAGTTGTGAAAAAGATACGTAAAAAGGGACAAATACTTACCTAGAGCAGAAGAGAGGCACAAAAAGCAGTACAGGCCCACACTTAGCAATGCATCTTTGCATTTTTGCATGAACTCTTGTGTCTCCCTCTGGAAAGAGTCACTGATGCTGCCTGTCTTACTTTCCCAGGATATTATGGAGAAGGTCTCAATGCCATCATTGTCTTTGCTGCCTGCTATCTCCCAGACAGTAACCTGGATGATTACCACTACATAATGGAGAACCTCTTCTTGTAAGTGTCTGGCCAAGGTCTATGAGGGAGAGGAGGGCAAGGAAGGTAACTTGGGTCCTGGGGAACTAGTTTCCATGTACCCATTGCATCAGAAACCTCAGCTGGAAAGAGTTTGAATCCAGGCCAAATATCTCTAGTGTGCAGCTGCAAGCTGCAAACTGGAGTGAACATCACTGTCCACCGCATTCACAAACAAGTCTAATAAGCCAAAGCATTCAAATATTTGGTGTTAATTATGCCAGCAGTGGACTCACAATCAGGCTAGACCGTATGTATACAATGCTGAACAGCCTGCAGATACTACTAGTAGGCAGAAAAATGGTGCAGGAATTGGTCCATCAATGTACACTCTATGCTAACAAGTGCAGGCAAACCCTGAGAAACACCCTCTGCATTCTGCAGAGATGCCAAGAGAGCTTGAAACATATTATAAGGTGTACAAAGAAAAGACCTGGAGTACTTTGAGGTTCATACAAAGATACCTTAAGAAACGTCAAGGTACTTTTTCCGAGTCTTATGTCCCCATTGCTTCTGATCACCCAACAGATATGTGATCAGTAGTCTGGAGCTGCTGGTGGCTGAGGACTACATGATTGTGTACCTAAATGGAGCAACACCCCGGAGGAGGATGCCAGGCCTTGGCTGGCTAAAGAAATGCTATCAAATGATAGACAGAAGGTGAGAATCCTATTGGTATTGCCTCTTTTTTTTTTTTTTTTTTCTTCTCTATCCTCTTTCCACATTTCTTCCACTGCTTTCTCTAAGCCTTTCCCACCAGTTCCAGATTCTATAATTTCTTCCTCTGTCACAGCTCTCTGACTTCATCTCCTCTTCTCCCTGACATGCTCCCTTCACAGACATCTGACTAATACAGCACTCAAGCAAGAAAAGCAGTACTCCTGCAACTGCCCAGCCCTGAGCTTAAATAGGTCAGGGCTTTCGGCTGGAGACCCCGAGGTGTGGCTGCTGAGCATTATTAAAGTCTAAGTTTGCCCTCAGAGCCCAGACAGATTACAGGTGAGTTTAAGAAAAGATAATTCAAGTTTGACTTTCTGTCCCATGACTTTTCCACAGGCTGCGTAAAAACCTCAAAGCCTTGATAATTGTGCATCCTTCATGGTTCATCCGGACAGTGCTGGCTATATCAAGGCCCTTCATCAGGTAAATATAATGTATTCCCATACTCAGCTGGTTTTGGAAGGGAAATTTGACCTCTTTAATCAGATCTTTTAAATAGTAGGGACCACGGTGAAACTTCATCACTTGTCCTGTGTCTAATACTTCCAAGGACAACTCTAAAGATGGTTTTAGGAGACAGTATGGTGATCTGGATACAGAGCAGACTTTGTCCCAGTGGGTAGTGTATAAAGAACACTGAAAGAGACCAAATTTACTGGGAAGTGCAGGAATGGTGGTCCTGGGCCCCTCCTGTAAAACACATTGCAGATATTGAGAGGTACAGTGATGTAGTATCTCACCATAGTTCTTAGTCATCAGCACATTAGCACTGGCAGGATATAAGTGCACTAAGACTGCAGAGGATACAGAGATGCAAAACTCCCTGTTCCCATCAGGAAAAGTCTGACTTCCTACGGAGAGGAAATCAAAACAAGGCCTCAAGCGCACACTCTTTCCCTTTCTTTGCCAGTGTGAAGTTTATCAGTAAGATCCAGTATGTTCACAGCTTGGAGGAATTGGAGCAGCTTATCCCAATGGAGCATGTACAAATTCCAGACTGTGTCTTACAGTAAGTATTACAGGGACCCTGGAACACATATAGATCTCAGCAGGCCCAGGACAAAAATCCTGTGTAGCAGAATATTATATTGAATCAAAATCCATGCACAGAAAACACAGATCCTGGGGCAAACCATATCTGAGTCATACACTTGTGCCAAGAAAAAGCCTGCAAACTGCTAACTTGCAGTTTCTGTCATCTTTAGAGCAAACACTGCATTTTATTGAATGAGAACAGTTTTGGCTGGGTAACATTTAAATAATGTTTCCTGTTCATTGCAGATATGAAGAAGAGAGGATCAAGGCCAGAAAGGAAAGGTAAAATTAATTTATTGGGTGGAAGGAGGGTTGGTTTGTTTTGTCAGAATATTGTTGCCTTTTTGCTGTCTCACATGGTTATTTATGCATTATAACCAGTCAATCCTGTGTTCCTCCTAGCCTATTCCACACAGTCTACATTTATTTTCTATTTATTTTCTCAAAATAAGAAAAAGCTATAGGAGGAAGAAAAAGCTTGATTAAAAGGTTATTTATCCATAGAATTGTTCCTCTTAACTCCATGAGTCCACATCACGGGCTCAGAGAATCATCAAATAGTTTGGGTTGGAAGGGACCTCAAAGCCCACCCAGTCCCACCCCTGCCATAGGCACAACCCCTCCATCAGCCCAGGCTGCCCCCAGCCCCATCCAGCCAGGCCTTGGGCACTGCCAGGAATGGGACACCCACAGCACCTCTGGGCAGCTTGTGCCAGGGCCTCACTGCCCTTAGACGGAGGAATTTTTTCTTCATATCTAATTTAAACCTACCGTCTTTTAGTTTAAAACCACTACCCCTTGTCCTGTCACTACATGCTCTCCAGATATTCATCCCCCAGTCTGTGCTGATGTTTGCAATTGCCCTGTCCCAGGTGCAGCACCTTGAACACAGCCTTGTTGATGTGCATGAGGTTCACCTGGGCCCCATTTCACAAGCCCATCCAGGTCTCTCTGGATGGTATCCATTCATTCTCTTGTGTCAGTTCCTCCACTCAGTTCAGTGTCATCCATAAACTTGCTGAGGGTGACTTGATTCTGCTCTTTATGTCATATTAAACAGCACCAGTTCTGATACAGACCCCTGATGTATACCACTTGTCTCTGATCTCCACCTACACGTTGAGTCATTGACCACAACTCTTTGGATGCTGCCATCCTGCCAATTCCTAATCCACCAAGTTGTCCACCTTTCAATTCCATCTTTCTCCACTTTAGAGACAAGAATGTTTCATGAAAGCATGTCAAAAGCCTTACAGAAGTCTGGGTAGATGACATCAGTTCTTCCCTTGTCCACTGATGTAGTCACACCAACATAAAAGGCTACTAGCTTGGTCTGGCACAATTTCCCCTTGGTGAAGCTATGTTGGCTGTCTTGAGTCATCTTCACGTGCCTTAGCACAGTTTCAAGGAGGATTCATTCCATGATCTTTCTCAGGCATGGAGGTGAGGATCACCAGCCTGTAGTTCCCAGGGTCTTCCTTTCTACCCTTTTTAAAATAGCTGTTTCCCTTTTTCCAGTTACTGGGAACTTCACTCTTGACTGCCATGACTTTTCAATTATGACAAAAAGTGGTTTGGTAACTGCATCATCCAGATAGAGTCCCCCAAACTGGCATCTCACATTCAATTCACCATCCTTAAGCTGGTGAATTGAATGTGAGATGCCAGTTTGGGGGATTCCATTCAGTTCAGCATTAGCTGCTGAAAAACAAGTCACCCAGCCAAAATCATTCAGCTACCACCTTATGGGACCAACAGGAGTATACCAAGAGCGTTATAATTATTAAGGCTGCATATTACAGGGACAAGGCAGTTCTGAAGGGCAGAGGAGTCCAAGAAGGCTCCGATCTGGGGGTTGTGGTTGAGAGCAAGTTGAATATGAGCCAGCAGTATGTCATGGCAGCCAGGAGAGCCAACCGTATCTTGGCATGCATCAAGCATGACATTGTCCTGCTCTACTCTGCACTGGTGCGGCCACACCTCGAGTACTGTGTGCAGTTCTGGGCACCCCAGTACAAAAAGGACGTTAAATTGTTGGAGAGTGTCCAGAGGAGGGCGACAAAGATGGTGAAGGGCCTAGAGGGGAAAACATGAAGAGCAGCTGAGGTCACTAGGCCTGTTCAGGTGAAGGGCCTAGAGAGGAAAACATGAGGAGCAGCTGAGGTCACTGGGCCTGTTCAGCCTGGAGAAGAGGAGGCTGAGTGGACACCTCATTGTGGTCTACAACTTCCTCATGAGGGGAGGTGGAGAGGCAGGTGACCTATTCTTCGTAATCACCAGTGATAGGACCGGTGGGAACCGTGTTAAGCTGAGGCAGGGGAAGTTAAGGCTGGACATCAGGAAAAGGTTCTTCACTGAGAAGGTGGTCGCACACTGGAACAGGCTCCCCAGTAAAGTAGTCACCACACCAAGCCTGTCTGAATTTAAGAAGCGATTGGACTGTGCACTTAGTCACGTGGTCTAAAATTTTAGGTAGACCTGTGTGGTGCCAGGAGTTGGACATGATGATCCTTATGGATCCCTTCCAACTCGGGATATTCTATGATTCTATGGTAGGGCTGGGTACTCTTCAAGAAGGAAATCTTAATGGCTTAGGAGTGGTCTGTCACCACGTGCCCAAAGACAAGTCAGCGCAGAAGACCGGCCTGGCTGAACAGAGAGTTGTGGCTAGAGCATAGAAAAAAAAGAGGGTTTATGATTTTTGGAAAAGAGGGCGGGCCACTCAGGAGGACTATAAGAATGTTGTAAGGATGTGCAGGAACAAAATTAGAAAGGCCAAAGCTCATCTGGAGCTCAATCTGTCTACTGCTGTTAAAGATAACAGAAAATGTTTTTATAAATACATTAACATGAAAAGGAGGACTAATGAGAATCTCCATCCTTTACTGGATGTGGGGGGAAACCTAGTGACAGGAGATGAGGAAAATGCTGAGGTGCTTAATGCCTTCTGTGCCTCAGTCTTTAGCAGCAAGACCAGTTGTTCTCTGGATACTCAGTACCCTGAGCTGGTGGAGGGGGATGGGGAACAGAATGTGGCCCTCATAATCTATGACGAAATGGTTGGCGACCTGCTACAGCACTTGGATATACGCAAGTTGACGGGGCTGGATGGGATCCACCCAAGGGTACTGAGAGAACTGGTGGAGGAGCTGGCCAAGCTGCTTTCCATCATTTATCGGCAGTCCTGGCTATCAGGGGAGGTCCCAGTCAACTGGCAGTTAGCAAACATGACGCCCATCTACAGGAAGGGCCAGAGGGCAGACCCGGGAAACTAGAGGCCTGTCAGTTTGACCTCAGTGCCAGGGAAGCTCATGGAGTAGATTCTCTTGAGAGTCATCACGCAGCACTTGCAGGGCCAGCAGGTGATCAAGCCCAGTCAGCATGGGTTTATGAAAGGCAGGTCCTGCTTGACAAATCTGATCTCCTTCTATGACAAACTGATGTGCTCAGTGGATGAGGGAAAGGCTGTGGATGTGGTCTACCTTGTCTTCAGTAAGGCTTTTGACACCGTCTCCCACAGCATTCTCCTCAAGAAACTGGCTGCTCTTGGCTTGGACTGGCGCACGCTTCGTTGGGTTAGAAACTGGCTGGATAGCCGGGCCCAAAGAGTCGTGGTGAATGGAGTCAAGTCCAGTTGGAGGCAAGTCACTAGTGGAGTCCCCCAGGGCTCAGTACTCGGGCCGGTCCTCTTTAATATCTTCATCAATGATCTGGATGAGGGCATTGAGTGCACCCTTAGTATGTTTGCAGATGACACCAAGTTAGGTGCGTGTGTCCCTTCTCTGGACCCGCGCAAGCACCTCGATGTCCTTCTTGTAGCGAGGGGCCCAAAACTGAACACAGTACTCGAGGTGCGGCCTCACCAGAGCCGAGTACAGAGGGACGATCACCTCCCTAGCCCTGCTGGTCACACTGTTTCTTATGCAAGCCAGGATGCTGTTGGCCTTCTTGGCCACCTGAGCACACTGCTGGCTCATATTCAGCCGACTGTCCACCATCGCTCCCAGGTCCTTCTCTGCCAGGCAGCTCTCCAACCACTCATCTCCCAGCCTGTAGCTCTGCTTGGGGTTATTGCACCCCAGGTGGAGGACCCGGCACTTGGCCTTGTTGAACTTCATACAGTTGACCTCAGCCCATCGGTGCAGCCTATCCAGATCCTCCTGCCTAGCCTTCCTACCCTCAAGCAGATCTACACACGCACCTAACTTGGTGTCATCTGCAAACATACTAAGGGTGCACTCAATGCCCTCATCCAGATCATTGATGAAGATATTAAAGAGGACCGGCCCGAGTACTGAGCCCTGGGGAACTCCACTAGTGACTTGCCTCCAACTGGACATGACTCCATTCACCACGACTCTTTGGGCCCGGCTATCCAGCCAGTTTCTAACCCAACGAAGCGTGCGCCAGTCCAAGCCAAGAGCAGCCAGTTTCTTGAGGAGAATGCTGTGGGAGACGGTGTCAAAAGCCTTACTGAAGACAAGGTAGACCACATCCACAGCCTTTCCCTCATCCACTGAGCACATCAGTTTGTCATAGAAGGAGATCAGATTTGTCAAGCAGGACCTGCCTTTCATAAACCCATGCTGACTGGGCTTGATCACCTGCTGGCCCTGCAAGTGCTGCGTGATGACTCTCAAGAGAATCTACTCCATGAGCTTCCCTGGCACTGAGGTCAAACTGACAGGCCTCTAGTTTCCCGGGTCTGCCCTCTGGCCCTTCCTGTAGATGGGCGTCATGTTTGCTAACTGCCAGTTGACTGGGACCTCCCCTGATAGCCAGGACTGCCGATAAATGATGGAAAGCAGCTTGGCCAGCTCCTCCACCAGTTCTCTCAGTACCCTTGGGTGGATCCCATCCAGCCCCATCGACTTGTGCACATCTAAGTGCCGTACCAGGTCACCAACCAGTTCTTCGTGGATAGTGAGGGCCACATCCTACTCCCCATCCCCTTCCACCAGCTCAGGGTACTGAGTATCCAGAGAACAACCGGTATTGCCGCTAAAGACTGAGGTGAAGAAGGCATTAAGCACCTCCGCCTTTTCCTCATCTCTTGTAAATAAGTTTCTCCTCACATCCAGTAAAGGATGGAGATTCTCCTTAGTCCTCCTTTTTGTGCTGATGTATTTATAAAAACATTTTTTATTATCTTTAATGACAGTAGCCAGATTGAGCTCCAGATGAGCTTTGGCCTTTCTAATTTTGTCCCTGCACAGCCTCGCAACATCCTTATAGTCCTCCTGAGTGGCCCACCCACTTTTCCAAAGATTATAAACCCTCTTTTTTCTCCTAAGATCACGCCACAATTCTCTGTTCAGCCTGGCTGGTCTTCTTCCCCGCCAGCTCATCTTTGGGCACGTGGGGACAGACGGTTCCTGCGCCATTAAGATTTCCTTCTTGAAGAGCGCCCAGCCTTCCTGGACTCCTCTGCCCTTCAGAACCGCCTCCCAAGGGACTCTACCAACCAGTGTCCTCAGCAGCACAAAGTCAGCCCTCCAGAAGTCCAATACAGCAGTTTTACTGGTCCCCTTCCTGGCCTCGCCAAGAATAGAGAACTCCATCATTTCGTGGTCACTCTGCCCAAGACAGCTCCCGACAATCACATCCTCCACCAGTCCTTCTCTGTTTGTGGAGAGGAGGTCTAGCAGGGCGCCACTCCTGGTAGGCTCACTAACCAGCTGCGTCAGGAAGCTATCTTCCACATTCTCTAGAAACCTCCTAGACTGCTTTCTCTGGGCTGTGTTGTGCTTCCAGGATATGTCAGGGAAGTTGAAGTCCCCCACAAGAACAAGCGCTGAAGATTTCGCAACTTCTGTCAGCTGCCTGTAGAACTCCTCATCCGTCTCCTCATCCTGGTTTGGCGGACTATAACAGACCCCAACCAGGACGCTAGCCTTGTTGTCCCTGCCGATCCTAACCCAAAGGGACTCGACCTTGTCATTCCCAGCCTCGAGTTCTACAACATCTAAAGACTCTCTAATATAGAGAGCCACACCACCACCCCTTCTGTGCTGCCTGTCCCTTCTGAAGAGCTTATAGCTAGTCATTGCAGCACTCCAGTCATGAGACTGGTCCCACCATGTCTCCATGATGGCAACCAAGTCGTAGCCTGCCTGCCGCATGATGGCTTCCAACTCCTGCTGTTTGTTACCCATGCTGCGTGCATTGGTGTAGATGCACTTCAGCTGGGCCATTGCCTTGTCCCCCAACCTTGCTATTGTTCCCCCTGGCACAGCTCCAACAATCCTTGCTTCAGCCCCATCCCCCTTCTTATCTCGTTTAAAGCCCTCTCAATGAGCCCTGCCAGCTCCTGGCCCAGGATCCTTTTTCCCCTAAAAGATAGGGACCCGTCTGCGGCCATCAGGCCGGGTGCCGAGTAAAGTGCCCCATGGTCGAAAAACCCAAGATTTCTGCGTTGGTACCAGCCCCTGAGCCACGTGTTTAACAGGTGGGCTTTCCGTGTCATCTCTGTACCCCTCCCTGCCACTGTAGGGATGGATGAAAACACCACCTGCACTCCTGCTCCATCCACTAACCGTCCCAGCCCCCTAAAGTCTTGTTTGATAGTCTTCAGGCTTCTCTCTTCGATGTCGTCACTACCTGCCTGGACTATCAAAACAGGATAATAGTCAGAGGGGCGAACCAGGTTGGGAAGCTTCCTGACAACATCCCTGACCCTGGCCCCAGGGAGGCAGCAGACTTCCCTACGGGTAAGGTCAGGCCGACAAATAGGGCCCTCTGTTCCCCTAAGAAGAGAGTCTCCCACAACAATAACCCTTCTTTCTGTCTTGGTGGAGGCAGTCCTGAGGCGTGGAGTTGACCTCCTCACCCTCGGCATCCTCCTGGGAACACTTGCTACCTCATCCTCACCCACTGGTCTCTCGAGCTCCTCAAACCTGTTGCGTAAGGGCACCTGGGAAGGTGGGGCTGGAAGGGGAGGGAATCGCCTGCAATGTCGAGCAGGGACCTGTTTCCATTCCTCCTCAACTCTCCATCCCCTCCCTCTGCCCAACGGCGACAGGGCAGGGGGTCCACCCCCATTTGGGGTGTCTCACCTCGATACCTCTCCTTGAGGCCCTGCAGGGTGTTACTCCACAAGTCTATCTCCCTCTCACACTCCCTGATATCCCTCAACCTCTCCACCTCCTCCTTGAGCTCCGCCACCATGCGGACCAGGTCATCCACCTGCTCGCACCTCATGCACGCAGTTTCTCTGCCTCCCGCCGATGGCAGCAACAGGCTCAGACACTCCCCGCACCCGGTGACCTGAACTGCTGCATTTTTTAACGGGTAGTCGGTCTGAGTGTTTACCGACTTCCTGGAGAGCGCACCGTGCCTGGTGGAGACCATTATCACCTAGCTGATGGCTGTTGTTAAGGAGGTGTTCGTATGGGAGGGGGAAACGCTCTGGCCTTCCTGCTTGCCCTGCCTGCGCTAACTGCCGCGCCACGCCCCGTTTGTCCGTCCTGGTCGCCGTGCTCCCTAGGGGCAGTTTTTGAATGGCTGGGGAGGGAGCGCTGCTGGCTCCGCCTACGCCTCGTCAGCCTCCCTCACGAGGGCTGCCGGGTCCTGGCGGCTCCCGCAAGTAGGCTCGATGCTGGAAAAAATAGCCCTGCCTGGCCCAAATCCCCGCTCCGCTGCAGAACGCATCTGCCCTGGAGCCGATCGCCTCGGCAAAAAGTTTAGTGGAGGACTGGTTAGTGTTAGGTCAGAGGTTGGACTAGGTGATCTTGGAGGTCTCTTCCAACCTAGATGATTCTGTGGAGAAGCTAATGCAGACATTTCTGAACAGATGTGAAACTCTGAGTACCAGCTATCTCCCTACAAAGGCCTTAGATACTCCACTCTTTCACACTGCTAAACCCTAGATGATAGGCTTTAAATGTAATTTGTTTTTGCAGGGCAGAAGACAAACAAGACATGGCTGAAAAGGAAAGGTAACTATTCTTTTTTATTTTATATGAAACATATTAGGATATATTTCATATCCTAAGGATATATTTCATATCCTTCACTTACAAAATACCTGGAACAATCTTTTGTCACAAGAATGGTCTTACTGCTTGGCATCACCTTCTGGAGAGCCAGGCTCTCCACTCTCAGGAGATGTTTGGACCCAACAGGGTATTTCTGAAGTACTTGGGAATTGATAAACCCTCTCTTTTCCCTAAGATCTCACTGTGCCATCACTTCTGTGATCACAGAGAGCCCTACTTTTGTTTTGTTACTTAGTTATTGACCTTTATTTATGTGAATGGATTCCTGACTCTGCTTTTAACCTCCATAAAGCTGGCAAATCCACTGGGTCATGGAACAGAGCCAGCGGCACTGTAGAACATTTTCCTGACACTCAGTTTTTGCATTTGCACATTGGAGCAATGCAGAGGGCCAAATACCACTGTCAAGCACATCTTGGGTGTACATAAAGGCTAGATACAAGACTGTAACATTAGATGGGAAGGAAAATACTAGGAAGGTTTTGAAAACACTGTCAAAATGCCATGCCAGGATAATTTGGCTTGATTTCGGCTCTGCTGCTGACATAGCCTATCTTTGTTATTCTGTCTAACTAGCTCCTGAGGGGGAACAGTGGATATTTCTGCTGTTCTCTTCGCAGAGAAGCAGGAGCTTTGATCAAATTTGCCAAGGTCCATTTGAGCAATCTGAATTGTTCCAAAGAACCACATGGGACCTCAGGACCAAAAGACAGGATGATAAATTTGTGGTGGAGATTCACTTACTGCTTTGATGGTTTTCTTCCAAGCAGGACTGTGCCCTCTGCAGAGGATCAAGAAACCAGGTTTGACTAGTACCTCACTCTTTTGTTTGTCTTTTCTCTGCTATGGGATGGATTCCGTTGCATTTGTAATGCTTTAACAGGAAAGGCAAGACTGAGCTAAACACAAGACCTCTTTAGCCCAGTGCCATTCACCAAACACAACAGAGGCATCATCCATTTTGCAGCAGACGTGTACAAATCAGGAAGCTGTTAACACCTTCACCCCCACTGCAATGTGGTTGCAGTTGCAACCACAACCACAGACTGCAGCTTGCCCCAAAGCACTGACTTGTCAGAACTGCAACGACTACGCAGTCACTTGGGGAAAGCTGCCTCTCAATAAAAGGAGTAAATTACCTGGCATTTGCCACATGATAAACATGTGTGCACGGGAAGTTACTGCAGAGCTGCCTTCCATTACCCTACAGTAACTTCTTCATGGACCTATATACTCAGAGAAGATGATTGCCCATTAAAACTATGAATGGCTTTATCTTTGGCCCTGATAGTATTTGGTAGAGGATTACATCCAAACATACTCATATTTTTAGATATTACGGGGATAAGAAATTTTTTACTGCAATTTGCTTTCTAAGAATAACTCTCTATTTCTGTTCCTTCACAGTATGTCATGAATCAAAGGACAGTTGAACAAATGGAGCAGAAGAATGATGTGGTCTGGCAGTCACCCATGTAAATGACCTTTTGGTATAAGACCTTGTCATCATCTTATTCTGAGTTCTGAAAGATCATGGAGCGTGCCTCCCCCATCTCCAAGATGCCAAGTTCTTCAAAATTTTGGAAACATTTTGCTTTAAACAACAAGAAGAAAGAACAGATAAACAAAGCAGAGAATAGCACTTTTCAGGTCAGGTTCCAGTGTGTTCAACAATGGTCTGTGGAGAGCTCTAAGTAGTGCAAATAGGTAACATATTTCCTGTAAGTAAGTTAAGGGCATCCTGTAGCCCATTAGCTATCAGCATGGAAAAGAAACGTTTTTTGTTTAAATTATAAACCCTTCCCCTAACTTGCTGCTGGCCAGCACTGAGACATTTTTCTTTAAACTGTACACCCAGTTTCCTCTACACAGGTGTTACAACAACCATTGCCCCAGGAAATACCTAAAGCAGGAAATGAAAAAAGTACATTTTCTTCCTTCCTCTATTCACTGTATGTTTCTTCCCATAAATCCCAAGTGCTCTGGTCTATACATTTCTTCCAGCCTTGACCTCCTCAGTTAATCTATTGACAGTTTCTCTGATTAACTCATAGTGAACCTTTCCTATGAGTAAATGCCATGATTTTTCTTATTTGTTCTGTCTCGGTTTGCAAGGCACTGGTAATTTTAAAAAGGGTCCCATATGACAGAACCTTTTTATGAGCATCTGCTAAAGTCAATGCACACATGCACACATGTTTTAAGAAGGAGCCTTATGGACAGGGAAGTCTTTCATGCCTTGTCTTTATATTGATTTCATGACATCGGACAATCATTCAGTATTAATACCTCCTATTGCAGAGTCAAGCTGCTAAACGTTTGAAATTTCCTACTTTCTGTCCCTGGGTAATGAGGGTCTCATCTATTAATATACATGCCTGGGAAAAACCTGGGTGGAGAATGCTGCAGGACATTGTATCTGGGTTAGCTTCTCAGTTATCCAAGAGATGCAGATGTGATATTGAGACTCTGAAAATTGTTGTTCGGACCCATGAGGATTCTTTAACCAAAGAGAGAAGAAAATTTAGGAAACAACCAACTGGCAAAATCATCTGGAAACTCCTGATTTCATCAAAGCCAGCATACATAATCTGTTGTATCTACCCCTTGCAGACAAATGAAGATGAAGAATTATCTGCAGGTTTCACCACTTAAAGAATATTTCAGGCTGGCAACCTCAATCCACGGCTATTTAAAATTAACTTCACTCTGCTGTGAAATCCCCCAGAGGACAATTCTGGCAAAGCAAGGTTTTCTTCAACATAGTGATGGCTTCTCTGTATTCCTAAAAATTGTCTTTTTTCTTCTCAGTGCATAATACTGTTGCAGATGAGATCTTTATTTTCCTGAATGCTACAAAGAAGCACCAAATATGTTTGCTAACTTTACTTCTCATTTAATGTACATATATGTTTTTTTTTTTTTCCCATATTCTTCGGTCATAGATGTATTTACCAAACAGGCCTTTACATGAAAAAGAGAGAACTGCACCCTTAACATTAACCCTTGATGCTGAAGATGAAAACTTGATATTCTGTTTCACTGGCATGTTTATAATAAGCACCAAACAAGCATCAACTGACAAGGCTTTCTAGAAATTTTATTATGAGCCCATTATTGGCAATGTGAATTCCATGCTACAAGGAAAAAACAGCACTTTTGGAGTTTATGTTTTATGCCCATCAAAAAACATTCTGTAGTAAGCCTTCCAGACAGCAGACATACATTTCAAGACAGAAGTAGGAGTCAGAAATTTTGAAATCTTCATATGTTAAATTGATCTGCAAAGCCGGGCAGCCTTTTTCATAGAGTCTGTCAGATGGACTCAACAAACTCAAACAAAAAATGAAGAAAGGCCTATTCTGATCAAACAAATTTTAGCTCAGACTATAAATAATCACAGATCTCTTTGTAGCACAGAGTATGTGAATTCAGTATCTCCCATTGGTAATACTTAAAGCTAGATTTTCCTTTTGAGACTGTTTTTATGCATTTAGACAAAATGCAATTGCTATGCTTTCCAAAAAAGAATGCCATGCAATTAGACACTGAAAAGGGAATCTACAATTATATAGTGAACAAAATTAGTAGGACATTTAATAGTGTTTCAAAGTACAGCTCAAAATCTTTTTTGCATCTTTAGTTTCTGAACACTTCAGTGAAAAATGTTCATAACATAATAGAAAATACTGCTGTTATGGAACATGTGGACATGGAGAATAAGAAATCCAGATTAGATTTAGCATTGGGACCTGAAGAAACAGACTACTTCTTGATCCTGAGCAGTAGCCATACCAGAAGATTTTTTTTTTTCCTTTCCAAAGAAAAGACACTGTGTCTACATTTAACAAACAAACAAACAAACAAACTACAGAATAATAAGACCTGGAGACGTAACTTCCTATTTGCTCAAGTAATTCCTTCAGGCCAAAGTTAATAGTTCACTTGTGAAAATGTACCTATCACCGATTTCATTATAATTTTATAACTGTGTAATTCCTATGAAGGTAGGAGTTTGAATACAAAAGTCAATTTGTAACTTCTTTGAAATAATTTTTCAAAAAGTGCACTTTCTGATAGAGCACTCTAAATAGTATGCACTATGTTTTAATTTGTAAAAAATCTTTATGAGTGTGTAATTATTTTTATTCCTGGATGGCTATAAGTTTTTTCAACATAGAAAAGAACTTTGAACCCATGATTGATAAAATATAGCTAAAAGTAAAAAGTGTGTTTTTATAGCAACAAAGAAAAGCATCATTAACTTATTTCGGACAGTGATTTTGGATGCTACTTGAAACCAAAGTAGCTGCAAATTCTTTGAAAGAAACACAGTGATCATGTTGGCAGTGTCCCTTTACTGATCATGCAGCAAGATATCTAAGTTTGAGTCTGATAGACTAGCATGGGCTTCAAGCAAAATCAGATGCATTTTATAAAAGATCTTCAAAGAAAATATGCTGTACCAGCAAAAACTTTTGCTAGTGAAAGTGCATTTACAAGTGCATTTACAGTAGGACTTTTGCCAGTCGTATGTCTAAAAAATAAAATGAAATAAATTGCAACATTGGTATACTAGTCAATGTTCCAAATGTAGACCAGACGTTGTTTCTGTCTCATGAAAACATCTCTGAAGGATAAATATTTTGACTAATTAATGCACTGTATTATATCAAACAGCAGGTATTATCAACATTTTTCTTGCCTTGGATTTTACCTTTCATGAGATTTACTTAGTTCTAACAGTGAATCCATATATAGCAATATTTTGGCTGCAGAAAATTGATTTTATCCCTATGATGGCATATTCACAAAAATCATTGTATTCTTATTCACAGTCTAATTAATAACAATTTCAGCATCCTCCCAGCATCAACCTACAGGAAGAAAAATCGGAGTCCTTCCTATATTAATAACAGACTAGGAAATACCTTCCCATCTCTTTAAGGTAGTAACAGAGGTCAGTCTAGCCTTCTGAAATGTGAGCACTTTTCAACATTTTATGCAGCAACCATCATATTTATACAGTCAAACCACTTTGTTTTGGCATATTTACAAATCACCAAGTTTTGGAATTGACCAATAATTTTCATTTTGATTCACAAGGAAGACATAGGAAATAAAACTGAGATGCTGCTCTCTATATTCAAGTTGGATAGTTAATATAATTTCTTATGTACAGTACTGTGGAAATGTGAGTGGTTAGAGTATACCTCATTGCAATTTTTCCATCTACTTTTTCCAAAGATTATTTGGTTCCAGGTATATATACATGTGTATAAGAAAACCTAAGTGGCAATGGTTTTAAAAGCAACACATTCTTTATTTTACATATCTAGGAATTAAAAAAGGAAAGAGTTAATAAAATGCTGGTGGCATTTAACTCAGATTGGCCTGGCAGCAGATGAAAAATACAGGCAAAATTGCTGTAAAACAAAAGCACATGTTTTCTCTTTTGTAATTCCATATTTACTGACAGTCAAAAATACAGCATGCTACTGATAAAGTGAATTTTAAAAAGTCACCATGGCAATATAAGATAATCTATCTCAGTTTTTTTTCCTTTGTAGTGGGACCTTTTAACCCAAACCTACACGTAAAAATGTGTGAACTGTCATTTTTCTAAAGTGTTTGTAATTAGATGGTTTATGCTAGAAGACATAGATTGCCGTTAAATATGTATTATTTTTTGCTTTGTATGTTTCTGTAAGAATCCATGGATATTCAATTAAAAAGAGACTAACCCTTAAGCAAAAATATGTACCCTTCTCTGTCCTGAAATCTCTTCTGTTGTAAGAGTTGTAAACTACACTGCTACCCAAGTGAAAATCTGGTCTCCCACACGTGCATTACGTATCTGTTCTTCACTTTAAAGTGACTGAGGTTCCTGAATGAAGCAATACTAAGCAAAGCGCTAATTACTGCATAGACTGTTCTGAGGTGTTTGCCATTGCTGAATTATGATGCACCACAGATAAGAAAATAAGGTTCTCAACTCAAAAGAATCAGAATTATCTCCAAACAATTAATCTCAACAGTATGCATGAGATTCATTTCACCTAATTTTATTAAACTAAAAATTAAATATGGAATCTAAATTTTAGTTTTATGTTCCCTCTACAGCTGATGAAAAGAGAAAGAGATGATTTCATCTGTCAGGACTGGATGTCACTCCGTGGTGATGCCTTTCAGCTAAATATCTAGCCTCACACCATGCACATATATTTTACATGGCACGGATAAATGAATCATACCCTAGGGGAAGAAAATGAAGTGATAATACAAGTCAAAGAGAAAGAAAGTGATCAACCATTCCCTCCTTTTTTTTTAGCACACAGAAGTTTAGTACTTGGATCGTTCAACTTATTACCTTAGGTTAACTTCTGAGAATGTTTGAGTCTTTGCTTACTTGATCTTTTGTTTAACAATTCAGTATGATCAAAAGCAGTCAGTTTCACTGAGTAGCATAAGAATGGAGATTAAGAAGGGAATGCTAGCTGAAGAGATGAGTTTTAAGAACAGATTTGAAGCAGGAAAGCGACTACATTCCAGTTCAAGTTCATTTTAAATTGGTTGCTTATTCTTTTTATTCATTCATGTAACAGCCCAAATGGAAAATTATCTATTTTTAAATTTTAATCAATTTTTAGATAAAAGTTAATGTCCAATATGAGCTGTAAGAATAAGATTTTGTATCTGGAATGGAAGAAAAGGATAAATCACTGGTAGAAATTGAACAATATTGCTAATAAGTGCTCAGAACATTGCTTTGAGGAAACCAAATTGTGAGAGCATTGGAGTTAAAGACTCACGGGGCTTGAATGTAAAGACATTGTTTCTTACTGTTATTGCAAGCAAACAACACTGCATGAAAATAAACTTGATTCTGTTCTCAATGTCCCCCCATCGTCCTCCAACCTACATTTTCCCAAGTCTGGCTTACTCCTTACGTCAGACAAAGGTCAGTCATTTTTCTTGCATATATATTCAATTTCAACATTTTTTTCCATTCTTAAAGCCTTCAAAATTTATGTTTCCTCATTTCTTTTGTTTTGATTTTTATTAATTTGTCATCCTGCCATCAAATTGATAAAGATTAATGATTAATAATTCTACCATTGTGAGCTTTGTTCTAAATATCAAATATAGCCTCTTAGAAATGATTACAGCCACAAGAACCTATTTTAAGGAATATTTCTTAGAATTTATTTAAAGAATTTAAAAGCTATCAACCCTTTCTGTTTGTGCATTGCAATGTAGTTATTTATTACATGATAAATGAAAAATATTCTTTCACACAGGCCATGTAGCCCCCTAGGCACCTAGGTCTAAACGCAATGTCAGCTTTACAATGTTATTTTTTTTAGTGTAGCTTTTCAAGTATGACTAATTTTAAGCATTTTTTTTATGTCTGCAGTAAACTAAAAATAAATTGTATATATCTTTAATGAAAACAATGAATTTTGGGTAAATTTATTATATCGAGCACCTGAGTCATTTTAGCAATGTCTTATCAAAATCCATTAGACTGAGGCACTCAACACTGAAAATTTAAATATGGGCACTATGTGTGTGACCAAGTTTTAACCAACGTAAAAAAAAAAAGAAAAAGACTGGTAATGAGAATAAGTGATCTGTATAAATAGCCTTAGAAACACGTTATTCACATCAGTAAAACTCCAAGGGAATTAAATTTCAATGTAAAATGCTTTTGCATTTGATTAATTGACTCAGAATTTACTCCCTGCTCAGGATGTCTCTCCCCTAATCTTAACCACCTTGGAATAACACGTGTAGGCTAAATTTTCAAGGTCAGTGTAGTGGCCTATGGGCAACAGGGAGAAAGGGGCAACTCCAGAGACTGACTCAGCACAACTATCCTACAATAAGCTATGTATGGCAGCAACAGAAAAATTCTGAGATGGCCAAAGGAAAGCAAAAGCCTTTGAGTACACCTGAAACCCTTGGAGAGCCTTTACACAACCCCACATGCTACAGGACTCTGCACCTTCTCTCTTTCCAAACAACACTAAACGTAACCCTAACAGGAACACTAAGCCGAACACTAATTAAGACCCTAAAAAACATGTATGGCGCCATTTTCTCCCATCAAAAAGTGCTCCCAAGGGAAGCCTTTGGGTACACCTGAACTCCCTTGGGGAGCCCTTACACAGGCCCATACACAACAGGACTCTGCACCTTCTCTCTTTCCAAACATCCCTAAAAGTAACCCTAACCGGAACACTGTGGTGGATCCCAGGCGACAACTCCTGATGAGGCCCCGGACCCCGCAATTGACTTTGGGCACAGATTCCTGCCAAGCCCTGAACCCCACGGCGGACTCTGGGTGCCGACTCCTGCCAAGGCCCCAGAGCCTTCTGTGGACCCTGTGTGCAGACTCTCCACCAAGCCCCGCTGTGGACCCAGGGCACCAACTCTTGCTGAGGCCTCAGACCCCGTGGCAGACCCCAGACTTCGACTCCCGCTGAGCCTCAGGACCCGGGAGCAGACCCCGGGCGCTGACTCCAGCTGAGGCCCTGAGCCCTTCAGCAGACCCCAGGCACTGACTCCCGCCAAGCCCCTGTACCCCATGGCAGACCCCAGGCGCCACATCCCTCTGAGACCCCGGAACCTGTGGTGGAACCATGCATGGACTCCTACTGAGGCCACAGACCCTTCGATGGACCCCGTGTGCCAACTCCCACTGAGCCCCCAGATGCCTTGGTCCCCAGATCTGGTCCCCAGATCTTTTTCACCAGGCACATGATTTGACACAGCAGTCAACCGTTTCTTTAGCTTTGAGGATGCTGAAATGGTCCCTGGCTTGAAAAGAACTAGTTTCCAGCTTGTCTCTAAAAATAGTTGCTTAGGGCTAAAATCTGAGTTTCCTTTCTGCTCCGTGAACATCCAGAGACACTCATCCTCCCTTCTCAGTTGACTTCGGTGCTGCCTAGTCTTAAGATTTTCAGTACTCAGTCATGTACCCCAGACTCTCATATTTTGAGTGGGATTGCAGGATCTCGGTAATTCACTCTTATTTGTGGTAACACAGTTAGCGCTGCTCTATTTATTGTTTGAAAATGAATACTCACAGGAGGGTCTTCTCGGTCACCAGTCAAACATAAGTGATTCAAGACAAACGATACCTTGGACAATCGCTTATCGATGTTCTTGATTTTTTTTAATCTCACTAATTGTTCCTTTAAAACCTGATGTGATCGTTTGACAATCACTTGGCCCATGGGACAATATGGAATACCTGTGATATGCTTTACTCCCCACATTTTCATAAGTTTTCTAACCTTTTTGCTAACATACGCTGGACCATTGTCCATCTTGATCTGCTGTGGCGCTCCGATAATGGCAAAACACACTGTCAGATGTCTACACACATGGAGTGCTTTTTCTCCGCCCTGCGCCATTGCCCACATAAATCTTGAAAAAGTATCAATACTCACATGCACATATCTTTTAGTACCAAATTCCGTTACATGCGTTACATCCATTTGCCATACCTCAAGTGTCTTAACACCCTGTGGATTAATACCCAAACCTAACCCTGGTCCATAATGACTACAGGAAGGGCACGCTCTTACTATTCCTTTTGCCTGTATCCAAGTAAGTCCAAACATCCTCCGAACACCCTTTGTTCTGATGGAACATTTCGTGCAACACTCGTGCACATGCAAAATCACTCTCAGGCCCCGCTGTGACTATACTCACCAAGTTGTCTGCTTGTGAATTACCTTCTGCTAACCCAATTGAGAACTGATGGGTACATATATGGATAACACAGTAAGGTGCAGTTCTCCCCTGAATGGCATCTTGCATCTGCAGAAATAACCTGTCCCTCTTAGTTGGCCTTATCAAGGCATCCTCTATCCGTCTTACCACGTTGACAACATACAGAGAGCCTGAGACGATATTAATCGGCACATGCATACAGCATTGACAAGCCCAAAAAACTGCAGACAATTCTAATGTTTGTAATGAATCCCCTGTCTCCCCTGGAATTAAGTATTTTTCCCAGCTTCCGTTCTCATACCATGCACACGCAGCCTTCCTACTTGCTGTACCTGCATCAGTGTATACAGTGTGACCCACCACTGGTTGGGATGAAAGCCGTGGTACTACCTGCCATTTATATGATCTTATAACTTGCCAGAGAGGCCCCTTTGGAGTCTGGGAACGTACCAATCCCGGGTAACCTAACACTGCTTCTTGTAGTGGTATGGATTGCTGTAAACACCATTCCAAATGATCCTGAGTCATCGGCAGACTAATATCTCCTGGTTCCTGCCCACTGATCTCAATACTCTGAGAGCGACCCTTACTTACTAACCCTGTGATAGCTTCCGCCTGTGTTTGAACACTTGTTTTTGGCTGAATCAGTAGGAAAATCCATTCTAGGACTCGAAAATGCTGCCCTATCATTCCACCCTTGCTATCACTTGTTTCATTTATGCCATTCCTATTTCCAGTGCTGTTAATGTCAGTGGCATCCTCTTGATACTGTTTCTGTCTTTAGCATCCCTTACTCTCCCCCTTTTCTTTTTGCCACTGACCAAGTGGATGAGACACATGACTGGTTACTAGTAAGGAGAGTGCAACTTCTGCTATACGTCTGCAAGCAGCACCAGCTGCAACCTTAGAAGCTATTTGTGAAAGAGCCTGCCGTTGCTCATTTGTTAGTGTAGTCTCTTGCTCTGCACTCCTGCCCTGCAATAAAGGTAATAATATAGCTAATCATCATTAGTAA